TCTCTGCTCTGACACGGCCGTGCTAGGCAGGAGAGACGGCTCTGGTACAAAAGAGAAGGGGTGACTGTCAGAGAGGTCTCGATTGAAATTGCACAGCAGAAACGCGCAGTAAGGTTACTACGTCTGTACGGACCTTACCGTCTGAGCAGGCGAAACTGGCCCAAGCAGGAGCTGAAAGCTGGTCTCCGGAGCCCTTCTCTCTGTTGTCTCGGGTTGAATTGCTTTTGGTAGTCAAAAGTTGTAGAACTTGTTGGTTTTCAGGAGCTTCCGTGTCCCGCGGTGACATAAACTAATAAGCTGCATGCTACTCCCTGGCACGTCGGCGCTGGTGGACTTTTATTGCTTTCCACGTACCCGAGACTAGCGAGGGCTGTTTTTATTTCTGACAGATGCGCGATCCGTGCATATCAGAGTTTGATTTCTTACAGCCTGGAATTTTTCAGAAGCGCGAGAATCCAGATGTAGTTGAAGATGCGCGCGGGCATTTTGAAACCCTCCTTAATTCTCTTTCAGAGCACTCGATGACATCAGGGAAAGCATCAAAGAACTTCAGTTCTACAGAGATAGCATCTTCAAGAGGAAAACGGATGAAAAGAAAAGGAAACTAATAGAGAACGGAGAAAGCGATAAAACCGCCAGCTGATTTCTCCTCTTACCACGCCATCCCGCGGCACGTACTAGATGTGTCTCCTGGTTCTTTTCTGTTTGCCACTCTCGAGAAGCTGCGCCCTTCAGTTACCTCGTTTCTTAACAGCTGTTGAAATGCAGATGGAAGCCCGAGTTACTGCTTCTTTTCTGTTTGAGCAAGGAATCGACACGCTCGAGTCTCAGCAGCTTCCTTGTTTGTATGTACTAGGTAAAACACGCTGTTTGATACTCCTCTTCGTCTGGTTTTAGATGCAGCCTTTCACTATACAATAAAATCAGTTCTGTTGAACGCTGGTCTTTTCCTACAGCCTTTCTTTTGTGCTCGCCGTGCGCGGCTCGGTGAGGCAGCCTCTCGCAGGTTTGCGAAAGACGACAGCCTTTCTTTGGTGCTCGCCGTGAGCGGCTAGGTGAGGCAGCCTCTCGCAGGTTTGCGAAAGAAAACGCTCTGGGAAATGATTTTCGTTGCATAGTAATGGCACGTGCGCCTGTTGCGTTCGTGGGCATTTGACAAAACAGTCCTTTTGTGCAACGCCTCCGTTCAGAAACGGGCCAAAAGTTGCACATCGGTAAGTACAGCCTACCGAGTGCTAGATGCTGGTGTCAAGGCACGGCGCCTTTTGTCTCTCTCCAGCTAATGCGCTGTAATTCAAGTCACAAAGCTCTCTGCAGTTCCGAGGTGAGCGCTGGTTCGCCTATCAAACTACCGCGCGGGCAGCGTCTGCGCGCAAGGGAACGGCGCGAGCCGCTTGATTTGGGTGCGGGTGGGTGACGTTTCAGTTCACACAAAAACTAAAGTCCTGCAGGTCCTTCGGGTCAGGATGGAAATACTGACGTGATAGCTGCATTGGCCTTCAATAATCACTTGGAAAGCCTCTAGCCCCGTTTTCGCAACACGCTCGTGAGAATAGGAAATACGAAAAGCTGCTTCCGTGACCTAAACTGACCCGGGGGTCAGCTTTACGGAGAAAGCGCTACTACTTTTTAGAGGTGCAGCCTGGGAAAAGCGAAGTCGAAAAGGAAGGTGTGTCGGGAGAGGGGCCTGAACTTTTCTCTGCAAGTAGCGCGCTCTGTTCAGCAACGCTTTTCAGAACATTGGAGCTACAACGAAAGCATTAAAGCATTCTGCTTCATAACAGAAACTGTGACACGACTCGATACCGAACAGCTACACGCAAATCACGTAGTAGAGCAGGTAAACCATGTACGGCAGGGGCAACCGTGATACCCCAGAAATCAACGGCACAAGCGGTAAGACTGAAAAAATGAAATGTGTCGCTGATTATTGGACAAAACCACACAAATAATTGAATCGTTCTGTGTCTGCGCGTCCCCGGTGTTTGCTGCGCTAGTAATTACTTTAGCGAGGCAGCTTCTAGGGAGAAGGTACTGCAGAGCTTTACAAACGTTAAGCTCTTCGCTAATGAAAACATCAGCGGGGAAGGGTCTGAAGTGCTGGCCCAGAACCGCAGCGATGACTGAAGCTGTCCCCTGCCAGCTTGTCAGTTCACGAGAGACGTATTCGTTTCCTTTAATCGCATAAATACAGCAGCGACTCACGATGAGAAAGAAAAAGCCGACCGAATGCAGGGCGAGGAATCGGGGAACCCTCGCGATGCTACCTTTCCTTTTACCTCTGAGAAAACAGCTCTTGGCAGCCCCCAGCCGGGACGGGAACAGAAATCTGCCGCTGCAGAAACCCCTGGGCGCAAGCGGGTGAGACAGAGCAGCCGGGACAGGCTGCAGCCTGTCGGCGAGGGGGTCCTGGTTTCCACCCCAGCCGGAGCCAGGACAAGGGGTTTCCTCCGACGTGGGCGAAAGCAGCGGCAGCATCTCTGCGAGCTGCGTTAGAGGGGAGGTCGAAACGTGGCGGGACGTCCTTTTTTGCTGTTAATTGCCAAATGACGTGGGACAAATCCCCCTACGCCAAAATTTCCTCATTTTCCCCCTTCTCAAGTCCTTTTACGCCGGTTGATATTTGCATTGCTCCCTCGGCAGCGTGAGCGAATAGGCTAAAAGCTCTCCACTGTACAAGCTTTCCTTGAAGCGCACGAGGAGTCGCATCGATTTAATGGGAGTACTTATGTGCTCAGTGAACCTTTTTGCGTGTTTGGTGTTTTAGGACGGAGCCCGTGGCAGCGGGTTCACGCTCTGATTGACGGGGAGGAGCACCACGGTCCAACGCGTTACAGCATTAGGCAGCGCGAGCGCTGGGCGACGCGAGCACACCGGCAGAAACAATTTGCTTTCCAAATAAACGCATCATGCCAGGTTTACTTGCCCACATTAAAAACCAAGTCACCCGTTCTACATTAAGTCAAGGGTAAGAGCGGGCGATGCAAGAGATGCAGCTAGCCCCTCAGCTTCTGGGGCGCTAAAACGGCGGCTTGCGTTCGGAAGGTTTGTCACGCGTTACTACATACGTGACTACGTACACAACGAGAGGCTCTGGAGGTGCTGCACAGGTTGCGACCCATTCCCGGTGGGACCCAAACAGGCTTTTGCTCCCGCTACTGATATCAGTGCAGCTTTCCACATCACCGAAGCTGCCAGCTAAATTCTAATTGAAGAATCAAGCAGCAGCCATAAGCAAGTGAGTCCTGTAAATCCCAGAGTCAGCTCTCGGGTCAGGCCATAAAAAAATATCCCGCGCCTCGTCAACAGAGTAGGTTTTAGCTAAAGGCACGGTGGACAGAAAGAAGCACGTAGCCCCATGTTGCTTTAGGGGAGCCGTTTTTCAGCGGAGACCTCTGTTTCCCCCCTGCGGCGTGCCCTCATACAACAGCACGCACTGATACGCTGCTACCGAAATAGCACGAGGGGGAGAGATTATCACGTTTACCTTCCCACGCAGAATGAAAACCTGATGCTTTTCTGCTGGGACGGTGTAAGCGGCGTATGTTTTACATATTGGCCTTTTACAAGATCATGTCTTGAGCCACCTGAAGAGAAAAATGCCCTTTCATACGTTGCAGACCTGCTCGTACCA